GGCAACATTTATGCTAGATTAGTAAAATGATCATATTTTCTCTCCCTTTGGTATATTAATGTTATTTTATACACTGAAGGATTTGTATGTTGAAGCATTTCAACATTCCTGGAATGAATTCTACTCACCATGGTTGATAATTATGTTAATATAATGACGGAGTTGATCAGTTAGCATTGTTGTTAGTGTATTGTTACAGTTGCATATTCAAGAGAGATTTTATCTGTAATTTATTTTCTTTGATATTTCTGTCTGTCATTTGAAAGAAGTATTGCACTTTTCACAGAATGAACTGGGAAGCGCTTCACAGATATTTACTCAAATGAAATTAAATTATATGGCAATACAAAAGAACTTAGGGAAATTTATAGTTAAAGCAGTTTTATTTGTAACCACCAAACAGTATACATCAACCAAGGAATGGAAATACAATGTATGAATTCAAAGTAAACACTACTTGTCTAGAAAAAATAAAATACTACCACTGATACAGGAAACAATATGGAGGAACCTTCATACATTAGAATAAGTGAAAGATACCGGAAGCAAGACTCCATATTCTAGGATGCTACTTAAGGACATTCTTTCAAAGGCAGAACTATATGGATTAAAAAAAAATAGTGTTTTTCGAGGGAATGGGGCTTTAAGAAATTTATTATGGGTGACCATGTTAATGGTTACATGAATATGTATTTGAACAAATTTTTGAGCTATACACTGAAATGTGTATATTACTGCTAGTAAATGATACATTAGTTCCTCTTTTTTTTTTTTTTTAAGAGATTTTTTGCTATAGGGTGTGTGTGCGCTCGCTAGACAGACAGAGAGTGAGAGACAGAAAGCGAGAAATCACCCCCCAGGGGGGATGGTCATGCCACAATCCCTTCTCCTCCACTCTCCTCTTGGGATCTTGGGCACGTTTGCACACGGGCCCTAAGCCGCTGGGTCCGGGACGCAAATGGTGGTCGACTACATGGGTGTTAGCGACACAGCCATTACGCTAACTGCTGGTCCCCAAACTTTTAAAAGGAATAACAAATAATGCCATTGTGTTTGCACATATTCAGAATAATCCATGATAGTTTAATTGCTTCTTCCCTGTGAAATTGGCATGAGGAGGGGTATCTACTCTAATGGGAGCTAACCCCCGGGACTTCAGGTCTTCATTAATTCCCTGCTAATTCACACACGTTAGGCTCTGAAATCCAACATGACTCCAGATAACTTCAATTTAGAGGTCCAGGATCATTTATTCGTCTGAATGTTAATATTTGTTGCTGGAGACCGGTCTTCGGACCTGAAGATTTGCTATGAGTCTGGAATCATAGTCAAGGAAAATGCTTCAGAATTAAAGTTGTATTAGCTTTATAGTAATGTCTTTTTAAGATATCCTCTTTATTGGTTCTTTATGAACATGATTCAGTGAATTAGGCAGGTAAGATTTTTTTTTCGAGTTTATTTTCAGAAAAAGATAAAGTAAGTGACTCTTCAAGGACACAAAAGAATGGGGAACCAGCAGTTAGCATAATGGCTATGTTGCTGGACTCCCACGTAGTCGACCGTGGTTCGCGTCCTGGACCCAGTGGCTTAAAACTCACGCCGGGTGCGTGTGCGTGCATGCCCAAGATCCCGAGAGGAGAATGGAGGAGAAGGGATTGCGGCATGACCATCCACCCTGGGGGGGTGATTTCTCGCTTTCTGTCTCTATGTCTCTCTCTCTATGCCGCTCTCTGTCTGCTGGTGAGCGCACGCGCCCTATAGCAAAAACCTCTCCAAAAAAAAAAAAAAAAAGAGTAACTTTAAAAAAAGAATGCACGATAGAATTAGGACCTAAATGGATATTAGTGTCTTTTTATTTTGTTCTTTCTTTTGAGATCTCAGAATCTTTTATGACTATTTTCCGTAGAATCGCTCTAACTTTTATACATTCTTCCATTATAGAATTTCTGGTTTCAAAAACATGATTAGGATTGACTGTCATTTTTTTCTTTAAGAAATCATCTTTTAATTAAATATACACTTTCAGTAAAAATTGTAGTTCATGCAAAAGTAGTGGATGGTTGTACCTGCTATGAGTTATTTGAGCACAGAAATGGAGGTATTGAACATTTTTCTAAAACATTGAAGTGGAGCTGCTTCCAGATATTAAAATTTCATCAGCTAAAGAGTCTGGTGATGTTTATGAAAAATCATCATTCTGCTTTCTCTCTCCTTTTTTTTTTTTAAAAAAAATTGCCAGTGTGTACTGCACTTACTAGAGAGAAACATACACACGCACATACACAGAGAGAGAGAGAGATAAGAGAGAGAGAGAGAAGGGACTGTGAGAAATCACTCCCTGTGGACATGGTCATGTCACAATCCTTTTTCCTCTAAATTTTCCATTTTCCTCCCTTTGTTATTTTGGGCACACATGTGCATGTTTTTTCAAGTTACCTACTGTGCAGTTGGCCATGTGGGTGTCTGACTCCCATAATCACCATATCATCAGCTGGACCTCATCATACTGCATTCTAGAAGGTATTAACAAAATCTTAGATTTCCTCAGAACAGCATGTCTTAGCCTTATTATATTAGCACACCTACACATTTGACAGTCATATTGCCAAAGCAGAAACTGTTGGTTAGTATAAAATGGGCTCAAGTGTTGGATCTTGAATTTTCCTCATACTAACTGTGGGATTGTAGAGCACCTCATAACGTCACATATAATCAGTTCCTTTAATGGCAGGTAAAATGATACTTATACATGCATGCAAATACACACACACACACACACACACACACACACACACAATCCAGAGATAATTATTTATAAAGCTCTTATCATCTGTTGCAGAATATGGTATATGCCACAAATGAGTGTATGTGCTTAGGTGGGGATACATAAAGCTCTCCTCTGCCAGGCTCATAAACTGAAGTTGTGAAAGAAATGAGAGGAGAATAACAGGGAATAATGCACGAGTGATGATGAATACACTTGCACTTCTTTTAACCACTGGCCATTCCAAAGGCTTAAATTCAAATCATGCCTAAAACTGAATGACTAACGGTTATGGAAACTTTTAAGTATATGGTGACGAACACCAGATACTGTGTGGGAAGAGAGTGAATGAAGGAGTAGAGTCTGAGGAAGGACATTAAGGAGAAAAATGGAGAGGCAAGGCATTTATGGGACAAAGAAATGGATTATTATCTATTGGAGACAACTTTTTTTTTGAGAGTTTTAGTTTTTGTTTGTTTGTTTGTTTGCTATAGGGCACATGCACTAGCCAGACAGACAGAGAGAGACATAGAGACAGAAAGCGAGAAATCACCCCCCAGGGGAGATGGTCACGTCGCAATCCCATTCTCCTCTTGGGAACTTGGGCACGCACACACACATGCCCGGCATGAGTTTTAAGCCACCGGGTCTGGGACATGAACCGTGGTCAACTACATGGGAGTCCAGCGACATAGCCATTATGCTAACTGCTGGTTCCCGGAGATAACTTTCTAGAATGGTGAATTGGACTGGAATGAAATGTACATATGTTGAAATATTCACTTTGTAAGCTAAATAATGTGATTGAATATATAAAAGAAATAGAAATAAAAAGAAATAAAACATTAATTAAAATATTGCATTTATGCTAGAACTGATTCAAATATATATTTTTAATTGCCAGAGGGAATGTGTGTTCACCAGAGAGGGAGAGAGAGAGAGAGAGAGAAAGCACCCCTCCTTGAGATGAGGTCACACAGCAATCTCCTCTCCCTTTCTTCATCCATCTGGACTTTCCACATGCAGGCACAACCATCTGTCATATTTCCCAAGTCATCGGGAGTGAGGATTTGAACTCCAGGTGGACATGTGAGATCCAGCTCACTACACACAGGATTTAAGCAATATGCTGCAATGCTGCAAAGCCAGCCCTCAAATAATAATTCTTAAATATGTATTTTATACCAAAACAGATTTCTATACTGTCCCAGTCATCCCTCCATACCAACTACATCTGGATCTCTCTACTGATTCACTGCAAAACACCAAGGTTGGGTTGGTACTAATGGAGACAATGAGTAATTGCATATTCAGCTAAATTTTATTTCTTTTCAAATTATTTTAGATAATTTGACTTGATAACTGTTCTGTCTGATACCAAAGTTTGGTTTGCCAATGAATACTTCTGTAGGTATGAATATGTTACTCAATGTCTATTTCTAAATGAAAGTAACACCTGTTAAACATTGTAAATCATAGAGAATATTTAGCAAATGTAGATGCAAAAATGTCTATAGCAATTTCTGGCAGAGTAGCTGCACAGAAATTTCAGAGTTTACAAGGTTAGAAAAAGACTATCCAGATACTAATTTCAGAATTATTATATCGAACAATTCACTAAATTGTCCAACCTCAGTTTTGAAACAAAAATTTAAAACTAAAGAGATGATCTATAAAACTTTGTCATTAAAGAATCTGGAGTTGTATTGATTACTAATACAATTTTGTCTATGCTTTAGTTATGGAGAATCTCTCTCTTTTTTTCCTTTGGAGAGCTTTTTGCTATAGGGCATGTACGCTCACAAGAAAGACAGACAGAAACAGAGGGACAGAAAGTGGGAAATTACCCTCCAGGGGGGATGGCCACACCACAATCCCTTCTCCTCTCAGGACATTGGGCAGACATGCACACGTGCCCAGCATGAATTTAAGACACTGGGTCCGGGACTCGAACCACAGTAGACTACATGGGAGTCTAGCAACATGGCCTTTACGCCAACTGATGGTCCCGATCATGTTCATTCTTATCTATCTCATCAATGTAATTGGGAACCTGGGAATTATCATACTGATTCCCTGGGATTTTTGCCTCCACACTCCCAGGTACTTTTTTCTTGGTTATCTGTCTCTGGTGAACATTAAATTCTCCTCAGCTGTCACTCCCACGGTCATGGCTGGGCTCCTTATAGGATAATTTCCTACGATGCCTGTGCTGCTCAGATGTTCTTTTTTGGAGCCTTTACTACTGTGGAAAACTTACTCTTGGCCTCAATGGCCTATGATCACTATGCAGCAGTGTACAGACGCCTGCACTGTGCCACCACCTTGAGGACAAATGTCTGCACTGTCCTGGCCATAAAATATTTTGTCAGGAAATGTATTAAGGAGTGGCAGGCAGTAGTGCCACAGTAGTACAACCAGATCCAATGATTAGACGTCAAGGATAATCCAGGCTGAGTATAGGAGTGAATCATGGCATGATCACCTTTAAGAGTACCTCTTTTTCTTTCCCTCTCTCTCTCAGAAAAAAACATATAAAACACTTTAATTTTTAAAATTACTTTTTGAAGAAGTGTTTTATTGTGTCCACATCTTGAATATTCATTTTCTCTATCACATGCCACTAGTAACAGGCAAATAAAACAGGGCCAAAACTATGACTAGGAACAGAAATGCCTTTATGTGACCCATATGGGCATATTCAGATAAGAATGGAAAATTATCCAGAAGTAAATAGAGTGTTTAAAAATAATAATTTAAATAATTAATAAGAGTATTCAAATGTTCATTTCTGTTCCTGTTTTCTTTAGTTAAAAAAATGGATGGAAGGTTCTGACTTGCGATGAAAAAGTTATAGAGTTTTAATGAAAGTGTGTGTTCATTTTGGAATATTTTACTGAGATCCATAGCTAAAGCATCTTCAGTGAGCAAATATTTCTGTCTCGATAGAATTACTTTGTAAAATGTCACTTTCACATTATCTTTTTCAACAGGCTCAAATAATCAAATTATATTAAAAACAGAAGGAAATGAGTGTTCTCAATTTATTCTTATATGACTGTGAACATTCCCACAATTTTTTAGAAGTCATGAGATATTAAAAATTCTCCTATGCTTTTTTTTCTCTACAAGTGATTTGAACTGGTTTCTGTTGCTTGTTAATTCCTAACTTTATTCAGTTATGTTTTTCTTGTCACTTTTACCTCATCTCATTCTCACTTGACTCTAATATTTTATCACAACTTTTGGCATATTGCTCCCTCAGAACACTTGCATTCACTATATTGTTGTTCTTGTTGTTGGAGAGGTTTTTTTGC